ACCTTTAGTACCGGTTCGTGCCATGAACCGGTACTAATGCCTCAAACCCCATTAGTACCGGTTGGTGGCTCAAACCGGGACTAAAGGTCTAACCTTTAGTCCCGGTTGGTGCCACGAACCGGTACTAATGGGCATCGCACCCTTTAGTCCCGGTTCGTGGCACCAACCGGGACTAAAGATCCAGACGAACCGGGACAAATGGTCCACGTGGCCCTTGGGCGCATGAACCGGGACTAATGCCCCCATTAGTCCCGGTTCTAGATTGAACCGGGACTAATGGGCTAACCCAGAGTGGACCAAAGCCCTCTTTTCTACTAGTGTATACTATAGCTAGTTAGGAAGACGACCTGCTTAATCCAAGTTTAAAAAAAATGTTAACTCGCTATCTCGGTCGACGGGTCAAGATATTCTTAGTTGTTCTGCTCAACTATCTCGACACTTGATTGCTCTAACAAAAAGTAACATCATGTGGTGGGTGTACGGTATTAATCCATGTTTGGTCGTTGACGTACCCAACAATGAGGGAGTTATTCAAATATTTACAGCACAAAGTTAGTAAAACAATACTGCATATACGAGATGATTATATTCCCAAATCCACGGGGAAATAGCACAATTGTAAAAGACATATGATTGTTTGTGGTTTGTGCTTACTGTAAGTTTTGGATCATTTTCTTTACAAACAGTTGTATAGCTAGTTGTCTAGTAACTTAATTTGTTGCTTCGCTCGGCTTGCAAATAAGTTTCTTACCAAACTTCACATGTGTGCTGGTCTTTTATCCCCATCATTCCTCCATTAATATTTTCACACCTTTCAGGAACATATAGATATAATTCTTCGCTAACTTACCATTTACTCTGGGTCAAATGTACCGGTGTTGAAAATTAGCTCAATGTTACTTGAGTAGTCATTGGCTAGTTGCATTACAAAATGGATAGTTTGGACGAGAGATCTGGACCACGATGACCACCTAGCTAGTGACGGTTTAACGCGTCTTTCATGCATCACTTGTACTCCCTCCGTTCCTAAATATTTGTCTTTCTAGACATTTCAACAAGTGACTATATACGGAGCAAAATGAGTGAATCTACACTCTAAAATATGTCTACATACATTCGTACGTGATAGTCCATTTGAAATGTCTAGAAAGACAAATATTTAGGAACGGAGGGAGTATGTACTAAAAAATAAGGAGGGGGGCCTACATGCTTAATCTAGTTTCAGAAACTCAAATCAGGATCCCAACCTATGACGGGCCTCCCACGTATATTAATCCTTATTTGGTAATTGGCGTACTCAAAAGTGAAACCATTATCGAACATTTGAGCACAAAATTAGCAAGACACTATATTTATATGAGAGTTGTTATTGGAATATAGTGAATATATGTGGTGTGGTTTAGTTGAGGAGTACCACCGGTATAGTAGTTGTTGATGGAGCGGACTTTGGTTATGCTGCGTACGTGTCAGTGCTGTCAGACCATCAGTTAGCCCATCTATGTCGGTTGACTAGACCATCAGTTAGTTAAATTAGTTGGTTGCCAGGAATTTGTCAAGATTCTTATCTTTCTATCTTTGAAAGTTTTCATGCATTGAGACCTTCTTCACAATCTCGGCCTCAATTTCCCATCTTTGCTGTTGTTGTACACCATTTCGAATTTATTTGTTTTGTTTGGTTTTGTTAGGCCGTCACAATCCAAATCCTAGATAGCTTAACACTGAGCTAATTTGTGTTTGCTTACAAAAAACAATTCTTGGTCACGTATGATTAAGTGTTAACATTTTAGTGCTTGCATCATTTAGCTGGTGTATACACTACAAAAATTGGTTGTCATCGCCGATAATAATTAGGCCTCACTCATAGATGCCTAACTTCTCGTGTATTCTTTTCTCGGGTTATTACGGTCATTCGTGTCAATGAGCAATGGAAGTGAAACATAAGAGGCTCCTCGATGCATGCGGT